GTTGAGTTTGATCGGCAACATCTGAAAAACACATCATGTTTGCCGTAAACCGAAATGCCTCGCCTCCAACAGGACATACTTTTGGAGAGGAAAAGGAGCCGACATGACATATTTCTGGTGACAGCACAAAATCAATGGCAAAAATAAAACATGCAAACCTGCGCGCAAATCGTGCGTCGCTTCCCTGGCGTCTTGCGTCGATGCAAAGCAGATTTTGACCGAGTCCGTTGTACAACACACAGTAAGGTTGCAAAGCGCCACGCTGTAACCTTCCCGGACACTCATCGGGAAGACAAACATGACCAACATATTCCATAATCACATCATCTTGTTTGATAAACTCAGTAGCAACGAGACCTTGAAATGCTAACGTTAAATCTTATCTAAAAGAGTTTACATTCCGTCTACCTTCAACGTCCGGAGCAACGAACATACGCTTTCCACGTCTCAAGTCTCGTGAGTTTTCCAAGATACTCTGCGCACCTGCTGTCGTATCGAACAGTGCAAGCATTTGTTTGGCTCGCTTGGTGTATTCGTTGCGACGGATCATTTGGAATTTTCTGTAGGCTGCTGGGCCACGTTTTCCAATAGATTTTGTGTGCTATAATTAAACAAAATATTAATGATTTCAAGTGATTAACCAGTTTTTGGATATATGATTGGATTATCTCAATACGGCTTGAAATGCTGGAACGCAATAGTTAGCACGATGTACTGTGGGCTGTGAAAGCATTGATGTTGAACAGAGAGAAAGTTGTGTATGAAGACTGATATATGTTGGTCAAATTTTGCTACATTTTTGAAGGCAGCCTCTTATCACATAAAACATACATTTCGTTCTTTAAGACGCCGATTCAGTTTCGCTCGCTTACGCTCTTCTTTTCTTTTTAGTTTTTCTGCCATCTTCCGCTCCTTTTCACGTGCTACGGCCTTTAACTGCTTCAACTAGAAAAGTTCCATTGAAAGCCGTGAAAAAAAAATTAGCAGAACCTGCCTGTATTTCCTGCGCCTGTTTCTTAGTAAACTTCAATGGACGAGGTTTACAATATTCGCACAAATATGTCTCGTTTTGATTAAACTTTTTCGGATCCAGTCCCATACATTTCATATGTTGCCATACGCTGAATAAACGATATTAGCAAAACAAGAAAATTCTATATGCGAAACGTACTTGCACTTTTCGCATTCGACCATCCATTCATCGTTATGCTGCATTTCACACAAACACCGCGTAACATAATCTCCCCATTCTGCCTCCTAATATTTATTAGTGAGAACAACAGAAATGAGCTGATGAGCTGGAGAAAGTCACAATCGTTGT